CTCTCTTTCATTTCCAGTCTCACCCTAAAGCTTCTCTGAGACTTCAATATCGGGTATATTTAATGTCTCTCTCGACGGCGCCTTACGAAACCAGCCACCCCTCAAAGTTGCGTGCTCGCTGCACTCGCCCTACATTTCTGAATACACACTTGTCTGCGCTGAATGAGCAGTCAGTTTGACGGAGACAGAGACTGCAGTGCTACACTTTCAGGGGTGTGGGAGATGTCTGGAGATCCCACTCACTCTGCACTTACATGTGTCTGTATGTGTTGTGGTGCTTTTTTCACAGATGTATGAGTCACACGTTGTACATGTTACAGACATGATATGTGTACAGTAAATATGTCAAAGCTGAGTTTGTGTGTGAGTGGTGACTTTTTCATGTGTGCAACAGTGCATGTCTGTATGTTTGCATGCTCAAAGAAGCTGTAAAGTCTGCATAATATACACAAACGTGTGTGTATTTGATTGCACACGCCTGGGTGCAGTGTGTGTGTGTGTTTGTGCTCCAATACACGTACATCTTATGTAACACCCAGGCATGTTATAACTCCACTGCGCCTGCTACTAGTCTGTGTGTGTAGGTGCCTGCTCGTATGCGTGCACCCAGTAGTGTGTAACTGGCAAGTAAACCCGCCTGTGTGTGTGTGTGTGTGTGTGTGTGTGTGTGTGTGTGTGTGTGTGTGTGTGTGTGTGTGTGTGTGTGTGTGTGTGTGTGTGTGTGTGTGTGTGTGTGTGTGTGTGTGTGTGTGTGTGTGTGTGTGTGTGTGTGTGTGTGTGTGTGTGTGTGTGTGTGTGTGTGTGTGTGTGTGTGTGTGTGTGTGTGTTCCAGTCAGACTGCAATGCCGCAATCAGCCAGCTCTGTATCATCATTGACCAAACTCGCCATCTGTGCCTGTAAGCATAGTATAGAAACAGCGAGTCGCACTGCTACACAGCAATCCACACACCATTAGTGTCTTATTAAATCGCAGCAGGATGCCACTGTGTCAGTGTGTGTTTTTTTCATTGTGTGTGGTTTTTCGTGTGTGTGTGTCGCACGGGCACGTATTTATTTTTAAGTATTTTTGCATGCGTGCACTCATGCATGTTTTTCCAATAAGCCTGTTAGCATGTTGTCTTGTATTCATCAGTGTATAACAGTGTGTACCTGCTCTTACACATGCACATCTCCCTGCCCGCTCTGTGTGTGTGTGTGTGTGTGTGTGTGTGTGTGTGTGTGTGTGTGTGTGTGTGTGTGTGTGTGTGTGTGTGTGTGTGTGTGTGGTGTGTGTGTGGTGTGTGTGTGTGTGTGTGTGTGTGTGTGGTTGTTGTGTGTGTGTGTGTGTGTTGTGTGTGTGTGTGTGGGGGGAGGCGAGGCACACAGTGTATATGGGTCACTCTCTTAGGAGCCATAATCCTACGTTTGGACCAATTTACTCACTGGGGTTTCACTCTTCCTGTTTGGCCAAGCTGATGGCAACAAGCATAATGACCTCACCGCAGCATTCGGTCATTGGCCTGCAGACCCCAGGCCTCTCAACCAATCACACGCGGCTATGGTGACGTATACCCTCCAGCGGCTGTCCTGATTGGCTGTGAAGGCGGGACTTAGAGATGCTGAGCTACTCTGATTAGTTGGGAGGGTGTGAGAGAGTTTGTGAGAGGAGATGGAGAGAAAGGAAGCATGAGAATATGGGAGTTGGTGTTCTCTTGCGGTTCCTCTGAAACTGAACTCAACCTGTGGATCACATGGATCATAGTTAAGAACCTGCATGGTACAAATAAATAAATTAATTAATAGCGAACAGAGTAAGACGCAATAACAAACGTATTTAAGCTGTTTCTGTTAGTGTGAGTTAAAGTTGTAATAATGAGACAGCTTGGGACATTACATATTGATTAATAATTGTTATGATAGTAATGTCATTTTTTTTGTCTACTGAAATAAGATGTTTTAAAAAGGCAGACGGCCCCCGCTGTGTCTACGCCCGTTTTCACATTTACAGACAAATGATGAGGGGATGAAAAGGAGACAGAAAGAAAGATTTCAACCCCGTCCTGCGTGTCTGTATAAAGTCACAGACATGCCCACAGAGGAGGCCCATTGGCCGCCTCAGCCTCGCTCCCAACAGCTGTTCTGTGTTTTCCCACACGGTGATTGGCTTCTTCGTGCCGTCCGTCAAATTTACTTTGACGCGTGGCCCCGCCCCTGCTCCTCTTCCTCGGAATTCTGTTGGCTACTGTACGCGTTCGTGCTCGGCGATTGGCCGCGCGGGCTGGTTGTCAAGGCTTTGGGGCTTCATTCACCATTTTGCGACTGTAGAGTAGAATGTACAGGGCAGTAGTTTTTCCTCCTTTTAAGTTGCTTTGCCGGAGAAACATGAACGGCCGCTAATTGGCAGCTGCGGACGACCGGCCACCCTGCCCTATCTCACCCGGCGGACGCAGCAGAGAACCACGCCGGGGTACTATATTAGCTCTGGTGAGTATAAGCTGCCCACAAATCTTTCTCCTGCAGCACTGCAGTGGGGCTTGTTGTGCTTTTTGCCGAGCTGCTAGCGTTGTTCATGTTTACTGTGGCCATAAACAGTATTAGCAGTTGAGCTGATGATTTTCCGATATCTGGCTGGCCTACGGAGAGCAGTAGTAGAGGGCGGATTGGGTGTCTTCTGCGAGAAAAAAAGGGAGCGGTGCGGATAGTGAGCTTGAAACTTTTCCACTAGAAATAAATTCAACGCCATAACTGCCGTTGGACTTCCTACAACAACTATCATTTCCCCTGTGCTGTATAAAAACCCCGAAAACTAGCTTGTCATTCCTCCTACTCTCTCTTCTTCTTCCTCTTTTTCATGAATCAACGTGGCTGTTTGAATTCATGTGTTTTTGAGGGGGGCTCGAGGGCCTTCTCCTTGGATAGTTTGTGGCCAGACATATTGACACTTTCTCCTTCTTGTATCTCGGTTGCCATAATGCAAATGACGACGAGTGTCATTACAAAGTTACCCGGGTAGCTTTAGCTATATTTCCCGACGACTGTCACTTTCGGATGGGCCAAACAAGCCGACTTTGTCTGCTGTTTCTTAGTCGGTGTGCTGTGTGAACGTTGTGGAGTGGATTAACAAAGTTAACGTGTTTATCGGTTTGGGACATTTCACACCGTCATGCAGCACGGGGAATACGGGCCGTATTACATGTTATTACGGGTTAATATGCACGTTAAACCGGTTATTTCCCGGTAACTGGGAGTTGAGGATTTCCTAGCGGCCTTGTGTGTATTCGAGGCCTGTGTGGCGGCACACTACGGCCTGCTGTGTTGTGGAGTAAAACTGGTAGTAATCGCTGTACTACGAGGGCTTGACACATACACGGTACTATCCAGCTAAACTACATGACATCACCTCCCGTAGTTTGCATTTAGTGCTTTGGCCCTTATAAACTGATTAGATGTTAAATGCCCTGCTATATAATTATGTATGCCAATGTATTTTAACACCCTTGCATGTCAATAATGCACCGTAGTAATCCTGTTATACACCTTTAAAAGATATTCTCTGCCAATGACAACACTTTTCAATATTAGAAGTTAGTGTTAGAAATGCCATTAAAAAGGATTTAGCAACTTTTACCTACCATACCATAAGGCACTTAAAGTTCTGTAAAAGTGAGGCTCTGCATGCCCAGGTTAATCATAATGTATGTAAGGCAATAATGTTCAAATGTAGATGGTCTATGTAATTGTATAGCCTATATAATATTGCATACACAATATAAAGTTCACTCAATGTATAGTATACCTCATAATAGAATCAGTTGCGTTTTCAAGTTGTTATTAGTTTGTTGTAGCCCAGTTGCGGTTGAAAAAGTGCCTTAACCATTACTTTAACCTGGACCCACGCTTAGCAAATCTAAATTATGCATCTAGAGTGGCAGTCATGTTTTTGTCACTGCACATGACTTATATCAGCTCGATATTGCCTGCAATCATGTTTACTTTGTATTTGCTGCTACCTCCACTATAAGTTAAAAGCTGTTCTGCAAATAAAATATGACTGAACTTGGTAACCTCGTGCGCTATCTATATTCAATGAACAGAAAGTGCTGTGCTTTGATCACTGAACATTAAACATAGGAGTTTTTCTATAGCTTCCATATGGACTTCCTTACTCCATGTTTCACGGAGGGAAGCGTGAGTTGCGTCAGTTTCTCTTTAAGCTCTTATCATTAGGGCCATGACTCTGACACCAGCTGTTGTACACATTGCACTACTGAGTAAACACACGTAGCATACCTCTATCGTGACCAAGTAAGGATGGCTGCCAAATTATTTTATTGCGGCTGCTCTTACGGCTGCTCTGTCCTAAATAGGGATTTACATAGAGCACAGTGATGCTATTAGATCACTAGCCCTCTGTGTGAACGATCAACTATCATCACATAGATGTTTGCTGTGTGTGTGTGGCCTTGAGACAGGCCGCACTCATCTCTGAAAATTGATTTCTCTCTCGCCGATATGATGTGGCAGATATTAAAAGGACCTGAATGAATGTGGGCTCTCTCGCAGACAAACAGGAAGGCTGCAGAAGAGAAAAGAAACAAGCAGACAGAGAGAAAGAGACCTGTGGGAGGACGGATGTAGAAACAGGGACAGACAGGCAGACATGGAAGTTTGCAGACAGACAAACAGTCACTGACAGTATACATGCAGAGTGGTGGGTGATGGGCATCAAATCTAGAACAGTTTGACAGTGACGGTGAAATAACTAAATAATAAAATACATGAATACATCTAGGTTTGTCACTTTATTCCCACCTGTGTTATATGTTTTACCTGGCTACAAAATACATTTAAATTAGATTTTTGAAACATAGTGAAGCATATGGTGTTCTGTTAGTCCCACTGGTTGTCAACATCTTTCTGGTGCTCGTAGCTCTGTGGAGACTCAACTTGTATTGGAAGAAATGAGGTAGAGTACACATCAGCTAGGACCTGAGGCGAGTCCCGCGCGTATCAGCCACACAGCAAACAAACCAGGAAAATGACAACAGCCTCCCCTTCAACAAGTCAGCAAAATCAATCTGTTTTAGTTTCTAAAGCGGAGGCAGAACTGTGAATGAGTCCGATGGGGAGATCTTTTGAATGACTGGCCCGTGGCTAACAGCAATACCGAATGACTCTGGTGTGGAATAACTATTTATTTCGGAACAACTCTGGATGACTGCAGCACAAAATGAGGATAGAGACGACGTGAAAGAAGAGGAGAGAAAAAGAGAGAAGGAAATCGATATCAGAGAGAAGAGAGAAAAAGGCAAGCAGGGGATAAGAATGAAAGTGTAATAGTAGCAAAGAGAGGGAGGAATAAAGTAAGGGGAAGTTAGGTAATGGTCTTCCACAGGAAATGGAGTTTGTAGGGGCGGATTGACTCTGCTTTGAAATACATAGATAAAGGTCGCCACAGACAGAGAGACGGAGAGAGAGAAGGGAGGGTTTCAGTATGCGAGCGAAGAAGGAATTCCCCCGCCTCTACTGCCCCGGCCAAGAAGTAGTGTGTGTGTGAGAGAGTGCGTGTGCATGCAGAAAGGCTTGTCTGGGCAAATTGCTCCTCACTATTTCCATACTGTGTTGTAAGCCTACATTGTGTTTACCCTACAACATGGCCTCCTGTTTTCAATGTGTACCTGGTATGGATGCAGGCCGTGTGTAATGTGAGTAGAGCTTGTTATGTAATAAAATAATGTGCAATGAATTTGTAGATGAGTCATTTGTATTCCTACTATAGTACGGTGATGCATCATTTAGCAGGGAATACATTTTTCAGGATTATTTTAAATGTACTATTTTGATGATGCCTGTAATCATAAACTCCCTGTTTGCTTTGCTTTTATTTTGAATTTCTTTCATGTCACATAAATGTTTTCGAAGATGTGTAATTTTGATTAAATCAGTCAGTTTTACTCTCATAGCCGTGCAGTTAGTAGCTATCGTTGGTGGTGAATGGGCTTTTGTGCATGTCTGAATGTGTTTGTTTCATGAGTAACTCACACTCCCTGTTGCCTTTCTTTCAGAGTCTCTGGAATAAGGTGGGCAAGTGCCGAAGTCGCACAACCAAGACAAGACAGGATGAGAGAGGGAGGCCCCGGCAGAGGAGAAAAATAGAGAGACTAGAAAGGAGGGGGAAGAAGAAGAAGATAAAAACGAGGCAGAGCAACACAGGAACGCCAAAGAAAATCTCTGGGATAAATAAATAAAATACTTGTTTGGAGGAAAAGGCGAGCTAGATGAAAAGATGAAGCCGATAAAAAAGCAGGGCCGGCGCTCTCCTCCCTCCACCCGGGCCAAAGGGGGAAAGCGTCGCGGAGCGGGGGATGCCCCAGAAGGAGGGGAGAAGAGAGACTCAGACGAGAGCAGAGACAGAAGCAGATCCCCACAAAACCGAAAACCCTCCTCTGCATTTTCTTCTAATTCACATTCAGAGTCCATAACGACGGATCTACTTAGAGCACGGGACACTTCAGAGGGGGAGGGGCTTCACAGAGAAGGACTGTCAGAAACGACAGTGTCGCTTGTGATGGATTCTGGGAAGATTTTGACATCTTCAGACGACAGATCAGGGAGGTCAGCTGTGAGCATTGACAGTGCGGGTAGCAGTTGTAGTAACAGTAGTACGCCCAGCGCCAACAACAGCCCAAACCCCGCCTCCAGCCGAAAAACTGCCACCTTTAAAGCCCGCGTTCCCAAGAAGAAGTACACTTCTGAACACTGCTTGTCTGCTACTGGTAACCATAGCAACCTTTCCTCCAGCACGCCTCCTCCACTTTCTCTTAGTGGTGGTGTCATCAACCACGGGTCAACGGGTTCAGGAAGCGACATCTGTGTCTCGCACTCTGATGGCATCAGTCAGAGCCGGAGCCTGATGGACGACTTCCACAGCAGGACCACTGGCAGGGAGGGGCCTCAGTGCAGCTCCCCAGGACCCCCTACCCTGACGCTGGGAGGGGACAGGGATAGACCACCAGGATGTGAAGGGGTGAGGGATGTAGAGCGAGTGTTGCCCAGCCCCTTGCCTCGCTGCTCCTCTACAGACACTGCAAGCGAGCACTCAGCTGACCTGGAGGTAGTCGGCGAGTCACACGCCCCCACGCAGATGTCTTCACATGCTCCACCCAGTCTCCCTGATGCTCTGTCTGATGCCCTGGCCAAAGGGCTGAAGAATCAGCGTATCCTTGCCCGCCAGCTCAGACGAAGAGAGGACGAGGATGGAGGAGGTGAAAGGAGGGATGAAGGATTCTCAGATCTGGTGTTCCGGGCTGGAGTCGTCCGTAAGGTCAGCGGTGAATTTGGAAGCCTGGAGGTGCAGCTGAATGGTGAGAAGACGCTGTGCCGTTATCCGTATCGACATGACAGCCCACCAGGGGTGGTAGACATTATACTAGATGCCCAGCCTCCTGGTGTACATCCAATAGCTATTGGCACTCGTGTATGCGTGCCATTTGGCAACGAGGAGGGCAGCGAGGGCCAGTGGCAGTGGTACCGGGAAGGTGTGGTGACCCAGGTGGACACACACCCTGCTGTTGCCAACCGCTACCGTGTCCTGCTGTCCGAGGAAAGAGCTGACTCTGTGGACGAGGAAGAAGAAGGCAGAGGGACAGCTGTGGGCCCCCAGGCAGTGTGGGTGTCCCGACAGACACTCAGGCTCCTGGTGCCACCTTGGGACCTGGATCTGCCTCCTGGAGGAGGACAAGATGGAGACGAGGAGGTCAGAGACAAGGAAAGGGAGCGGGAGGACAGGGAGGAGATAGATGTGGAGCAGGAGGTGTGTCGTCTGAGCCGGGGAATGACACCCAGCGTGGGGAGAGGAATCCCCTACCCTGGCACCGTCCCTGTTTCCTCCACGTCAGGCCACAACATCCCCACCCCAGTAACCCCGGTGTCCGTGCTCAGCCTGGCACCAAGCAGAGAGTGGGAAATAGAGCAAGACTTAGAGAGGGAGAGGGACCTCCAGAGACAACAGGAAAGAGAGAGGGAAAGAGAGCGAGAAAGGGAGCACTCTGCAATGCAGCATCGCCAACAACAGCAGCAACACCACCCGTACATGCCACTCACCCCTGAAGAAGACATGGAGGTGTCCCTGTTTAACATGCTCCCAATGGGGGCCATCCTACCTGGGGCAAAACCAATGGCACTTCCCCAACACCGCCACATTGTCTCTAAGCCCCCGCCTGGCTACCTCAACCACCTGTCTGTGGTGCGGGGTATCGGGATACCCACTGCCCACCTGGCTTTGAACCCCCATTGCCCTCCATCACCTGTCCTAATAGGCCTTGACCCAACAACTGCAGCAGTCATTAACTCCCCTCAGCTCCCTCCAATCTCTTCTTCCACTGCATCCTCCAGAGTAGAGAAGGCCTCAGGAGGAGGTGCTTCCGGTGGAGGAGGAGGCGGTGGATCCGGATCGGGTTCAACATCCTCCTCTTCCTCACGTTCTCGCACCCCTCTGACAGCTGCCCAGCAAAAGTACAAGAAGGGAGATGTGGTGTGCACGCCAACGGGCATCCGTAAGAAGTTCAACGGAAAGCAATGGAGGAGGCTGTGCTCCAGGGAGGGCTGCTCCAAAGAGTCTCAGCGCCGGGGATACTGCTCCAGACACCTCTCCATGAGGACCAAGGAGATGGAGGCCAGCGGAGGTGGCCGGGAACGGGGCGGAGCCAGCAGCACGGGGACCCTGACGCCGTCTGACCTCCGAATGAGTGGTGGGAGAGCAAGCTCAGAGTTCGACTGGGACGAGACGTCACGCGAGAGCAGCGAGGCAAGCAGCCGCGGGGGAGACTCCCGCCCCCGCCTGGTCCTTCCCTCTCTGCTCCCCCAAGACCTCTCTCGATTTGACTTTGACGAGTGTGAGGCAGCGACCATGCTGGTCTCTCTGGGGGGCTCCCGCTCAGGTACACCCTCATACTCCCCTATCTCCAACCAGTCACCCTTCTCCCCTACCCCATCACCCTCACCCTCTCCGCTCTTCGGCTTCCGCCCTGCTAATTTCAGCCCCATCACGGCTCCTGCCTTGCTTACTCCACGCCGCCACCGCCATCTTAGCGGCACTAAGATGGGCACACCAGGTGTCGAGCGAGAGCGCCACCTGTCGGGGATCGTGCCCACGTTTCAGACCAATCTCACTTTCACAGTACCCATGAGCCCCAGCAAGAGGAAGCTCGATAACCACCCGCCCCCCCCGCTGCCTGCAATCCAGGACTATCTGATCAAACCTGAGCATCAGCAGCTGTTAGGGGGAGTTATGGTGGGAGACCCAACCCTGGGACACAGCCCTGCCGCCTTCAGAGTCCTCTCCCCCCAGAGTCAGCCCACGACCCCTTCCTCACTTTCCTTCCCCCGGCCTCGTAGCGCCACCAGCAGGCCACCGTCCTCCACTGCCTCTACCCCTCCACCCATGCTTGTTTCTCCCACTCCTCCCTCACCGCTGCCCCAGGAACCGTCCCCACGCCGCATCGTGCCCCTCCGTGATTCCCCAGTCATCGTTCGAAACCCTGATGTCCCCCTGGCCAAGTTCTCGGATGGACCGTTAGGGAGGAGGGAGAGGAGCAGGTCCAGAGAGCACAGTCAGCCCCAACACACAGCTACACCCGGCCTGCAGGTCCCCGTCCCCATCAACGGGGCCACCACCAACGGGGCAGTTCTGCTGGGAAACCCCACATCCACACTGGTCCTGGTCACCTCCAGCTCGGTAAGAATGTTTTTTCTATATTATAATCTTTGTCATTGCAATTTTATGTCATAGCTACCTTGGTGTTGCAATGACTAAATATAGTAACATGATAGGAAAATCACTGTATGTGAGAATGTTGTTTTGATATTTAGGATGATTCATATCCAGGATTTAGTGACTGAGAAACTCCACCTTGAGAATGAATAAGAAAATATACTCTAAAAATCTATAGATATTCTTTTGTGTCAAATACCAACTGTGATAGACCTTGAAGGTGGCCCTCAAAATCCTTTGTTGCAGCTTGGATTCACACCAGAGATTTGTCATCATAAAATTTACTTTTTTGAAACCAATCTTGCTCTTAAGTCAATAGTGATATATGGAAGTAGTGTCATTATTAGCTGCTGTTTAAAGACTGTATGTCAGGTGTTGTTATGTATCATGTAAAGTTCTGTATGTCACCTTGTTTTCTTAGCCTTTCCTCCTCTTCCTGTTTCCTCTGTTCTTAAATAAGAAAACCCAACAATTATCACCTCCAAAAAAGAAAAAATGAAAGGTTGCAATCTTAATTAACACAAAAAACATGTTTTGATGTCTCCTCCCAGTCTCTGACTCCAGCCTCAATGGGCCACGCTGCCCTGTCCAGCCCCTCCACCATGCCCACCTCATCGGGCTCCATCCTGTCCTCCTCTGGCTCTGGAGGCAGGGAGCGGGAGAGGAAACCTGAGGGACACCAGGATGCCTCTGAGTGGGGGCTGCCGCAGCCGGTAGCGTGCCACCCCACTCCAACTGCCCTGCTGCCGCTCATACTGCCAGCTGATTCTCCTCACCCTGCTCCACGCAAGCAGATCATCATGGGACGGCCCGGCACTGGTGAGTAAGGCAGGGCGCGGGAAAAAGTGATTATCATTATGGCACTGTGGCTTTGACCTTTGTTCACGTCTGATAAAAAGTCTGCTCAGGCACACTTCTGCCATATTGTAAGGTATTATGGGATGTGCAGGCTGAAGCTTGCGTACCCTAGCACAGTTATTCTCACTTTCATTATCTCTATACAGTTACAGGAGTGCCATCAGACTGCTATGGCTATGACTCATATATGAGTTACTGTTGTTTGCTTTTGTTAGAAAGAACACATATTAAAAAAAGAAATGTGCCCCCTGAATTTGCCTTTTTCTTTATTTTTTAAATAGGGTTATTAATGTATATCTTTATTAGGCTTGTTTGTTGCATATTAGACATTCTCACTAAGAGGTGTTTTAATTCAAAATAGACATAGATGGATAACGTATCATAAATGCTAGCTGCTTTGGGCTGCTTTCTTCTTTTGCCAATAGCATACCGTTAACAATTGCTTTATCAATAGTTCCCTTAAATGCAGCCCCAGTGGACAAATGAATAGCACTCATGCATTATACTAACGGCAAAAAAGCTAAAACAAAATGGATGGATGTACATTTTTGCCCCGCGCTTTAGTACCAAATGTTGTGTTCTAGGAAAACATAGAATGGCACTCATTATCTTATTATATCACACCATCAGCTAACTCTCAAATACGAAGTGCACTGTGAATGTCGGTAGGATCAGAGCGTTGTTTGAGGGAGGATGAAAAGAGTTTGAAGTTACCCAAGTAGACGTTTTTATGCATCCTCTTGAAAAGTATGCATTTGGGAAAAAATGTGTTGTGAAAATATTTTGTCAGCTTTGTGTGCACTCGGTTGGATATAGAAAATTGGCCGCTGAGAAAATAGAGGTGTTTGGGTTAATCATATACTGTGTGCTTGTTTCCATGCCAACCATGCGATATAGCAGCCCAAACTCAGAGATGTTACTTTGAATGTAGGGGTGAGAATAGTTGCCATTTGAGATGCACTCGTTCTCAATTTGTGTAATTTTAACTCTTTCTAAACTCTTATATGGGCAATCATATTTAAACGTTTTGGAAAATTAATTGATTACCATTTTCTATATTTCACTGTTATTACACCCATATCACACATTAATACAACTCTATTACAACTCTATTACACTGTTATTGCACAGGTTATATTAATTATACAGTGCTTTCAGGAAACACGGCATGGTTGCAGCTACAGAGTATTTGTGACAAAAGTAGCAGATTTTATCATGAAGATCTGTGAATTTCTAAATGTATATACATTATTTCACAGCCGTTTTCTGATTTAATTATAATATTTAAACTTGGTTCGGACGGTTCAGGTTCATTGAGGCGTGAAGATCAGGAGAGGTTTATTATACAAGTCGCTCAGGCAGACTTGTTGCTCATTGTGTGTGTGTGTGTGTGTGTGTGTGTGTGTGTGTGTGTGTGTGTGTGTGTGTGTGTGTGTGTGTGTGTGTGTGTGTGTGTGTGTGTGTGTGTGTGTGTGTGTGTGTGTGTGTGTGTGTGTGTGTGTGTGTGTGTGTGTGTGTGTGTGTGTGTGTGTGTGTGTGTGTGTGTGTGTGTGTGTGTGTGTGTGTGTGTGTGTGTGTGTGTGTGTGTGTGTGTGTGTGTGTGTGTGTGTGTGTGTGTGTGTGTGTGTGTGTGTGTGTGTGTGTGTGTGTGTGTGTGTGTGTGTGTGTGTGTGTGTGTGTGTTGCCCTTTTCATATCTAAGTGTGTGCTAGGGAGATTTCAAGGGTGTTACGCTGAAACTTTAAAAAGCATATTGACATGTCTAGACATGCCAGAATGAGAGCAGGAGTGCAGAGAGCAACAAGGACACTCACTACTCCTCCTCCACACACACACACACACACACACACACACACACACACACACACACACACACACACACACACACACACACACACACACACACACACACACACACACACACACACACACACACACACACACACACACACACAAACAAAGGAACAGGAACACAGACATGCACTCGCTGCTCCAGACAATCAAGAGACAGGGCATCAAGGGCATGTCCAGCGCGATGTGAATGTGTTGCATCAGTCTCAGCAGAAAAAAGAGTAATCATATTGCCGGCGTGTTGTCATGGATACACGTTTCCACCAGTAGAATTAGTGCAGTAAAGCGTTGAGGCCTGAGCTGATCACCGGAGTGCGTTTTTTTCTCCCTCTCACATCCTTCACACTGCTGCTAACAGCCACCTGCCTGCGTAGCGGTACGCTTTTCTCCGCCATACATTTTTTAAAACACCTAGAGCCACAGCAAGCCCAGAAACAAACACAGGCAGAAGGCAGTGGAGCCCCCCCCCCCGGCTGCTGAGATCTCTCCCTAAATATAGCACAGCTCAAGTGCAGCTGCATTAGCATCACAAGTTTCATTACTGCTCACTTTGAGTACGTCTGCAGCCTTCAGTGAGGGAGAGATAAGTGCTCAGATGTTGCCGAGGTCCCCTCTCCTTACACAGCTCAGGAACTGCTGTTGCACACACAGGAACATTATTTTTGAAAAGTTGTGGTAATGTGTCGTCATAGGACAGGTGGATATCTACAGTTGAGTAGCCCAAGACAGCTGTTCACCTCATCAGGTGTATTTTCTTCCTCACTGCTGTCTCTTGCTAGTCATCATGACTGTCAGCGCTTTGAGCAAACCAACAGATGGTTATCTGCGTAGTGTCTCTGATATTTTTCACAACTCACCACTGTCTGTGCTTCCTCTGGAATATTCATGCCTCGCCTCTTCAGGGTTTCAGCAGGTTCTTCAGATGTTTTAAACGAGTTGTTTAGCAATTTAAATGGCTTTAGGCTATATACTGTATTTTGTTTATTTCTCACTGTCAACAAATCATGGGAAATCAAAATCTAACTATATATGTCTGTCTTTCCAACTTCCTATCTGTTGTATTCCATTTGCTTATTCTGAAGTACATATCTATAAAACGTTGTCACCATTACAGAAGGGCGACTTTTTTTCAACTAGCAATTGATTCAATGTTTTTGCGAGGGTGTTTGTGTGCCGATTTAGCTGGGACATGTGCTCGAACACACAAGTTCGCTTTGTTCCACAAGCTCTCTAAGCTTTTAAGCATAATAAATTAAAAGAAACAAACTCAGAATATGTCAGGAAAGGATCTTATTTTTCTTATTAAACTGAAAGATAGACCCTTACGCCATCTGAATCAAGTTTCTCCCCTTTCACTGAACTACATGGGATTAATGTCCTTGTTAACTCACTGTAAACACATTTCATTTCAACTTAACAAAAACCTAAACACTGTTCCTACAATAAAAGACTCCTGTTTGGTCCAAACAAATCCCTACGATTAGGTTAGATGTGTTGTAGAAAAATAATGGAGAATATAAAATGCCGTCCAGTCCAGCACCGTCCTTGACAATGAGAAAAACATACTTGTAAACAATGCCAAGATATACCGACGACCGGTTTAACGGTTTATTTTAATTTTGATTTCAACCCTTACACAGTGATCTTTGTCTGAGGCAGAGTTGGAAAGTAAAGCAGATCAAATAGTAATTATGTATTTGACCGCAGATGTGGGTGGAAGCTGTGAAGAGCGTTAATTCTGCACTCCCACTGTGTGACATTCTGACTCATGTATCTTCACTATTACATTAACATAATGCAGGTTAAATACAGCCATGACCCTATAAATACATTTCCTGTTTTTGTTCAAATCAGGCCCTGAACCTTCATGTGTTACGTAGAGTATTGTTTTTTATCATTCATTTTGACTTTTTGTCCAATTCAAGAAAACACTGGCAAATATTTCTTTTTTTTAGAGTTGCACCAACCACTTTGTTTTAATAACACTTATACATTCAAACTGTTTTTATATACATTTCTGGTTTTGTGCATTTAGTTTTTTTTTTATAAGCACTATTTCCTACTATGTACTTTCCCTCACGATAAAAATGCTTTGCGGATATACCAGTATTGCGGAATATGTCAGCTGATGAGTAACAACAAATTGCAGTAAAGAAATGCAAAACTAGTTTTAGGGTTATTAAGAAACAGCGGCTCAAAATGTCACGTGTCTTCTTCTTTCAAAATACATATATTTTAAAATGGAGTCTTTTGTATGACTTTTTGTCGCTAGGATTACCTAAAAACATCTGGAAATGTTAATGAAATCAGAAAACAACCTGTTATTCACTTGTGGAAATGACCTTGGTAGAAATCTGCATTCTCCAAGTGTCCTTCTAGTTTATCTCTTTGGGTAAGAAGTCGTCAAATATATTGATCAACATTGATCTCATTATCTGTCTTAAAAGTCTGGACTCGACTGCTGGTGTGTCCTTGAGTTGTGCCAGTATATCTGATGGTCAAATAAGGATTTAAGCAAAATGGTGTATTTATGCCTTTTACGATAGAGCACATCATAGGGCTATTTCTGGTCCTGCCCGTCTTAAGTAAGCAACTTCTGGTGTGTAAAAGATTTGAAAAAGTCTCACTTCCTCTTTAAGTTCCCCATGCAAACAGCAACAGAAGCTGCCAGTAGTAAGAAGTGCAAAGGTTGGTGATGGTCATGTGACACTGAAAGCTGCACTCAATAGACCATCTGCAACAGTGTGAACATCACATCCAGGATATGTTTACATTTCCTTCACTGTCGAGCTCTCCAACATCTCCATTTGAAATGAGCCATAGCTGGTGAATGGTTAGCTATAAATAGACCTCGTTAATACTTAATAATAAAAGTATAAATGGAAACGGAAACTGGACATTGCTGCAGCAGAGTCTGGCCAGTTTAATGCAACCAGGATAGACCTTTATGTGAAATACCGCAGTCAGGGGAGGAGGACATCTTTATTATATAACAGTTTATAATTATACATATAAATGAAACCTAGAATGAACCATGAGCTAATACGCTGATTCCCAAAGCAGATGTATCCAAAAATGCAGTAGTGATGGCATTAGCAGTTCTAGGTTTTTGTAGTACTTGTGTTGTTTGTTGAAGTATTTAGAGTATTGGTACTTGTCGTAACAGCAGTTATGGTAGTAGTAACAATGTAGTAGGAACACAGTAGTAGTGTTAGTACTCATAGAAGTAGAGGCTTTCAGCTGTATTGTAATCTGATGGTATGAACATGTTATCTGTTATGATTGTGAAAAAAATGTTCATTGTAAACTAACAAAATGTGTTATTTCAGTCTTGTTTTACGCATTTTTGCTTTTCTGAGAAATTCTATGTATCTCCAAAATGTCAGCTTTTTATTAGCTAAACAAATGGCCCTTTTTCTGCTTTGTGACAATTCATCAACATGTGTTTTATATGATTTATATGTAGTTGTAGTATATGAAGTTTACTTTAGGGTGTACAGCCATGCTAGCTACTCTAAGAGTGTAATATTTAGGAACAGTGATGCTTTTAGCTAAATGCTAAAATTAGAATGCTTTCATGCACACCACGACAATGCTAACCTCCTAAAGTACAGCAGGTATATTGTTTACCATATTCACCATTTGAGTACCGCTTGTATTCGTAAACTAAAATAGTGGACACATTAAAATGTTGCCCTAATGAGGTTAGAGGAAAAATGGGTTGCTAAAGAAATTAGGATCCCCCCCCCCACAAAGCCCAGCCCTTACAAAAAGAATAGAGCAGGTGAAAGAAGCTCCTCATACAAGGTGCACATTTAGGAGGGAATCTTATTAGGGAGTTAGGAAGCCATACAAATAACAAACTCTTGAAATTAAAACATATTGCAATGCTTAATATATCCAAATGCATGAAAAAACACTAAAAGGATGATACTAAACAAGCACAATTCAATTATGTAATGACAATAAAGTTAAAATAAGTGATGCTATATTGGAAAAGTGAGTCAAATAGAGATTTGTGTGCTAATTTAACTTGTCCTCTGTAGTCGTTCTTGGCTGGAAATGGTTCTGCAGAGAGAGTTCAGAGACTGAGGCTCTGCAGCAGCGGTCTAGACGGCCAGGAGTCTGGAGTCTCTGTGGATAAAATAACAGGTTCCCTCATCTCATCACATCACACCACATGGCCCCTCAGCTCCCATAATGCTGAGGGATGGTCTCTGTGAGTGTGTATTGGAAGGGGGAGTAGAGTAGCTGGCTGAAAACACAACTCCATTCATGGTCCTCTGTTTTCTACGAAGGTGTAGTTTTTAGTAACACTTTAGGTCATCACTGGCTTATGATAGCGTAGGATTTCTCATGCTGCCAGAGGGCAAAACGCCACCTTCTGTCTGCAGTCCGTGATACTGAAATGATGACATTTAGCTTTCTCTCTCTCTGCCTTCCCACAGTTTGGACCAACGTGGAGCCTCGCTCGGTGCCAGTGTTCCCTTGGCATTCACTCGTCCCTTTCCTGGAGCCCAGCCAATCAGGAGAGGCCGCTCAGCCTGCTGATGGCCAGCAGCTTGTCAATCAGAGCAAAGGTAACACCCAATTCCTTTTCTCTGAATCCAACTGCTTCTGAACAAATATCTACATAAAAGCATCTGATAAAAACACATTTTTCTTCCATATAATATTTATAACTTCAAATAGTATGCAGAGCTGTGTTTCTGCCAAAACACTTGAGTACAAATGTTTTCCGGACACACCAGCGGCCAAGTCAGTGTTTCCCAAAACAGTTGCCACGGAACTGCAAATCAGCACAGTTGGTGTTCACACCAATACAGTTCCAGCAACATTGTTGTTAACACTATTTACTGACTGGACTGCCTAAAGTGTATTCAGAGACTCATTTTGGCGAGACAGAAATCTTCCGCAGAGCTTCTGTAAGATCATTTTTTACTATCGGTTTTAGGGCTCCAACTATTGTTTAATCGTTTAGTCTATGCTGTGTTAGCAAATAGTGGATACAATTTCTCAGAGCCCAAGGTCACATCATCAATCTAACTCACAAATATATTTGATTCACTCAAATATGACTAAAAAGAGCAGCAAAAGCTCACTTTTTCACAGACTGTGTTATTCATGACTGTGTCACATATTCAATTTGAAAAGAAAGAATAGAGGAAAAAACGTGCATAAAATAAAAAAATCTGATCCATACTTTGACTTCTACAAGGATTTGTGGGGCCTCTTTTCAGAGTCCTTGTATTTATTTCCAAAATGATATCAATTTGAGCATAAACTTTATAAACTGTGTTTCCTCTCTGCGACTCCTGGTATGACTCACAGAGACAACCGATAGTAACTGTAGATTATATTAGACGCAGTTTGTCTGTTGTTTGAAACCGAGACTTTCATATTTGAAAATATGACAATAAAGAGCAGCAAAATCAGCAAGCTAGTATTCAACATTTTCGCATGGAAAATGAAGGAATAATTGGTTATGAAATATTTGGCAATGCATTTTATTTTCTATTGACTAATCATCTCAGCTGTAGACTGTACAAAATGATTATACTCCATGGCCTGTTATTCATGGCTGTGTCACATTATCAATTTGAAAAGAAGGAATAGAGGAATAAAATAACTAAAAATACAATCAAATAAAAGAAATTGGAAATGCCTCAAAAATACTTGGCTAAGCTTTGCATTAGCCTTCCTCTATCTATCATATGTTCCCCCTCCATTATTACTTTTAACAAAAACATCAAAACTATAATGTAAATAATGATAAATAGTTGCTCTTAGTTGTTTCAATATTATTTTCTTACTTTTAGATTTATAATAATATTTCCTTGTACTTTTCATATTATACAAATTGATGTTTTTTTTGCTTTTGATTCTAATATTTTCTGGTGCTCACTTTTGACTTGCACTGCACTTTTGTCACCTTCTGTTATTATTAAACATGCTTTATAATGAACTTGAATTGACTGAAAGTAAGCAAGCTCACTAATAGGCTACAAATAATCTTTGTTAACAATACACATGCAGTATGAAATAAAATAAATGCTGCTTTAACTAAGATTGATAGATTTAATTACAAAAATAATTCTGAAATGTACAAATGCACTCACTAAACCGTTGATGGAAAATCTCCTTTAAGTGTTCCCAGTATATATTGAAACATTGATGAAGTCAGTCAGAGCTTCTCACACCTCCCACAGTTTGGAATGAATCTGCCCATCAACGCGCTGCATGCTGGGTGTCCCCGCGTTTTCACACATGGCTCTGTTACTTCTTACTTTAGAGTATATTTTCTCTAACTGACATATCAATGTTTTTTCTTTCAGAGCCTCGTTGCGGTGTGGCCCCGGTGAGTGTCGAGCGGTCCGGCCCTCCAGACATAGAGAGGGGATCCACGTCCTGCCTTCCCCCAACCAATGACAATCCTCCTACACTGAGGGGCGGGGCTGACAGCGAGACGGAGAGCGATACTGACGACCCGTGAGTACAAAGAGGAGGGTTTTATCTCCTCTGGAGTTATAATGCTGTTTTTAATTTTAGGATGTTTTTTGCAAATGACTTTTTTGGCACATAAGCAAACACGTCTTAATCTTAGTAGCAGAATATCACAGTTTATTAATCACGAGGCTAATTAATATTGGTGCTTTAATGTTCAAAAAGCTCTTTATTTTTGCTGCCTGTGCTGCATCACCTCTTTCCACCCTTCGTCTGAAACCAGAGCTCAGTCTGCTCTGATTGGTTAGCTGGCCGGCTCTGTTGTGAGCATAAAAGCATAAAAAGGCCTCTTATATCAAACAATAAATCATGTTCACATGCAGTTGCAGTATTTTAAATCTGTCTGCGAGTCACATATACACTGACCTATTGAATTGGCCACACTTTTTTTCATTTTATTTTGGATTAAAGATTCTAGTTCATTAACATTATATCTAGTCATTTGTTCATATGGATATCGTCAAAATCCAATCTGATCCCTACTTTGACTTCTCCAAGGATTTTTGGAGCCTCTCTTCAGAGTCCTTATGTATATTTCCGAAATGATATGTATCAATTTTGAGAAGAAAAAAAAGGAAACTCTGTAGCTAAATGTAATTTTCCTTAAACTTTCAATATGGAGAAACAAAACAAAAACAAAAACTAACCTTCTGTCCTTTAAAAAGTGTTGGTGCTACATTTAAATGTCTCCTGGTATGACTCACAGAGACAACCGATAGTAACTGTAAACTATATTAGACGCAGTTTGTCTGTTGTTTGAATTGCAGACTCTCAAGGACGCTACGCTCAGAACAGGTGCACTGAAATTCACCTCTGACAGCTAAATTCTGAAGAAACAAACACCAACAAACAACTCTACTTCTACCAGCTGTATCAGTGTGTGTGTCTGGCAGGAGTTGTACAGTCTGTGCCTGTTCATTCCTCTCAGTCTCGGGCTGCGTCTGCTCTTTCAGAGTGACTCAGACGCTGCGTGGCTGTCTGGATGGTGGTGTGGTTTTGAATGTCTCAGGGTCACTGTGCTCACAAAGGCCTCCATCACCAAAAGAAGAGCATCAGCAATCCCCCCAATGCTGCAGTGGTTACACTGCTACGTCGAAATTAAAATAAGGTCGAACAATTTAGACGTGAGCTCAATTTATTAGCTGTTTTACTCTGCTTTACCTATACATCAACACTATGGGCATGCTTACAAGAAGAACACAAACTTTTAATTATTAAGTTCTTCACTCTGTTTGTATATTTTATATTCCACGCATGAACACATGCACAGAAAGGACCTATACACACAAAATGTGTGTTTGTTTGTTGTACTGATTTTTATCTGTCAGTTCTCGGTTTGGGATCACTTGATTTTTTGTAATTTAAAGAGACACCTCAGGCAGAAATATTGTTTTTCATTCACTTGACAATTTTGAGATTTGGGCTAATTTTGTATTTCTTCAATCTTGTGGAAAGAAAATATAAAAAATACACATGTAGCTTTTTATTTTATAACAGCCTTTTATATGTATATCTGTTTGTTGAGTTGTCCCTTAATTCACTAAAGTTAGCATTACATAATGCCTTATTTGCATTTTAAAGAATAACATTTCAGAAAACCTCAGACACAAATAATGTATTGTCTTAATTTAAGTAATTAACTGGTGAAGTTATATTTATTTATTAGATAAATTATTTTCAAAAATTATTTATTTATATTATTAGTTTAATTATTTGCAAAAATGTATGGAGCTTTACTACACATTTCTTCAAAAGCCATTTTCTCAAAATCTCAAACCTTCATATCAGTAGCACTTACATACATGGCACTTTCCAGTTTTATTCCTATCCTTATTATAAAGGGTTTTATTGAGGGCTTATTTCATAGATCGTTAATAGTGTGATTTATAGAACAATTTATTCAAAAAAAGACAGACATTTTTATGACTGTTGACATTATTTTCACCCCTTTGTGTATCACTATTTTGCCCTTTTTGCTTATTGAATCTTTGATGAATAATGTAACTTGCCTTATATAATGAAAATGCATTTTAAAAGTAGACCAGAAGGCTAAAGAACGCTGTATTTATGTAGTCCACCTTGACAAAGAGTTCAATGTCTATTAGCTGAAAGGTTCAGACGTTCTGTCTGCCGCCTCACGGTTTCAAAAGATTTTTCTAATGGTCATAACTTTTATGCTATCAATTTGAACAGTTTCCTTTTCATTTGAGACAAGAAACCTTAATCTATGTTTCACCATTGGTACATTAGTCTACTGCTGTGTTTCTCAGACTGCTGTAACACAATAGTAATCTTAACCCAGTTTGTGACATCATTTAATTGGTTCCCTTTATGTAAGTTCGCTGTCTGGTTGCTTTTTCCTTAATACAATCAAATGGCTTGCAAGAAGACTGCAATTTAGTTGTAGAAAACAGGAGTTTCTTTGGAATTACCTGAATAAATACTTCACATGCTAGTTTAACACTAACCAAGGCTGAACAGATATAGAAAAGTGTGAGAAATGAAAGGAAAAGAAATTCAGGAAGACAGAAGGGAAAAACTGACCTGGTTTGCTGACATGTGACTTTGTTCTGGTTTACAACCCATCACATGTCTTTCTAATTTACTCTTTACTCTCAAGAGTAGACTCCACCCACATACATAGTGACGTCACTATGTAACACTTGCCTTCTGTTGGCTAGCCCTCCAACACATTGTGTGATAGGCTAAGGGGTGGGACGTCTCTAAGTGGTTGACCAATCACAACAGTGCTGGCCAGCTAACCAATCAGAGCAGGCTGGGCTCTGGTTTCAGGCCCCGTCCACACGGACACGAAACGGGTTGTATCTGCTACAGTTCTCTATCGAATGGACGGTTCGTTCACACGAGGCCGTAACGGAACCGGGGAAACGGAGCCCTCAAACGGTAACGGGTCCCAAGGTGGGTAGGTCTGCGGACATAACGCTCTGGGGGGGCAAACGGCTCCGTGTGTACCAGTGACGTGCGGTGAGGTTCATGGCTGGTGAGGCACTGACTCTTTCAGAGTCAGATTTACAAATATTATAGCCTATTTTGACCTTAATCGAAATATTCTGTTATTTTCAAAAGCTTTTTTAGTCTGATGCTATGATTAATTTTAAACAGACCGTTCAACAAAAGGATACCCAAAATCTAAATATTGGATTGTTCTTTCTAAGTAAGATCCCATTTTCATTACAGTTGTGGTCTTACCTTGACTTGCATGCTATCCTTCTGGACAACAATCTCTATTACTGTTTTGTAAAAGTCCTCCTTATCTTCCTCTAGTTTCAAAAGTCTAGTTTCTTTGTTGTTTGCGGTAGAATAACAGTAGCAACAAGAACCTGTGGGCTCACGTGCGCCCCCTTCAGTGCGGCAGAGGTTATGGCTGCCTCCCCTGGTGATTTTTTCATTGCCGTTGTTCGAGAGACCAGCGAACCTAAATATCATATATACGTGAAATAAGTTATTTAGAGACTATGGATGGCGAGGATAAATGTAATAAAGGGATCTACAAACATTACATTGGTGACATACAGTGAGATGGTAACAGGCATGCGCTTAGGGCCCGCTTTCCAGCCAGTTTCTGTGGGGTGACGCATTCTGAATTGAGGCAGGGCTCATCTGTGCCTCACCTCAGAATGCGTCACCCCACAGTAAATGGCTTGAGCGCGCTCACAAAATAAGTGGCCGCGCTAAATTAGTGCCCGCGCTCCAGCAAGTTACTGTGGGTTTACGTGAGGCAGTGCTCGTGCTTGCCTCACTTCTCATCGCTCCCGTAGCGGAGCTCGGCAAATTTGCTGATTTTGACTATAAAATGCGATTGGAATCATACAGAAATCACATTTACACAAGATCAGTGGAGACATTTTATTATTATTATTATTTAGTTTTTCTTTAATTGTTTTTCCGTTACATTGGAGTATGACAGGTGAGGCTCTGCCTCCACTGACTGCACGTCGCTGGTGTGTACGCCCTATACGCCATAGCCCCGCCTCTCCCCTGCTCACCCCCGCGTCACCCGCTGATGTGTTTCGCCAACAACAACAACAGTGTTCCGAGTGTTTCGAGCCAGGTCCCGGTATCTCGCAGGACAGTGCACCCAGCAGGAGCCTCCAGCAGAACCCCCCCCCCGCACGGTTCCCTCGTCCCTTGGAAGAGGCGGAGAGGTGGGTGTTTTTCATCTGCTGGTGCCGGGGAGAACGTCCTGCTCGGGAGCCAGGCTCAGAGTTAGTGGCAGTGGGTGCGGTGCACCTGCCTTTTACAGCAGGAGCACACGCTCGCCTCGGCGAGGGAGAAAAAGAGAAACAGAGGCCGCCGAAACAGCCAGAGCCCTGCCTCTCCCCACCTCTGCTGCTCACCCCCGCGTCACCGCTGAATCCACCGCCGAGAATAAACAGAAGGGCAACCAGGCAACCATGGCAACCATGCTCGGGAGGTCTTATTCGCTGCTTTTGGTGTATTTTGTGGCGGAAGTACAGCACCACTTACAGGCCCGGCATATGTACTCCAGCGGGTCGAGCGGTCTCGTGTGGACGGACACGTTTCTTGAGCCGATACCGTGTGGACGGAAGACTTTTTTGATATCGAATTCGGTTCGTTCTTCATTTCGTCTCCGTGTAGATGCACCCTCAGACAGAGGGTGAAAAGAGGTGCTGCAGCACAGGCAGTATGAGAGAAAAAATAGCTTTTTGAACATTAAAGCATGTAAACATGTCACAGTAGAGGCAAACAAATATATATGAACCTGAACATTTGCATAATATGGGCCCCTTTAATAAATAAGGAATAGTGTGTCTTGAATACCGCCCTAAATCCTTCACATGAATTGTTTTTCCCTCTCACTGAGTAATTCCCCTTGATTTCCCGTCTCTTGGGGACCCATAGTTTAACTTTTGTCTCTGTGTGTGAATGCAGGTTTTCCCCGGGTGTGGCCAACGAGGCAACGCCCTCCTCTGGCCCCTTGAAGAGACGCACACAGTCCCTCAGCGCCCTGCCAAAGGATTTAGACAGGAAGGTCAGTCCACCATGCAGACAGATGGTAGAAAAGGCAAAAAGGTACAGAAAAAAAAAATTGATAAGAGCTTGGCTTATGGTGACCAAAAGTGACATCATCACATGTATTCGGTAAGACTCCTTAAGTCGTTGTGATAATTTTGCAATGCTTTTCACACATGCATGCCAAAAAAAGCACACTGATCAAGGCAAATAACTTGAATTAGTTTCACTTATAAGTGTGTTACCATTTATTTTTAGATGCTTTAGCAAATATACACTTGAGTAATGTTTTTTCCAGCTTAATCAAATTGTTTACAGTATATTCAACTTTATAACCTTCATTTGAATATTTTCTTCTAAATATATGATATATTAGAATATCAATTATCACAATATTTGTATCGAAACACCTTGATATTTATTTTGCAACAATATATGGGGGTTTACTATTGGTGCTTTTATAACATATTACCAGTTATTTATTTGTTTAACAATCATCAGTTATGTGGATGTATTGACATATAGTGTGTAAAAAATAAATACAAATAATAAAATGACATTGCTACTGTATTGCAGTAAACCAGGAAAACACAGCACATATGCAATATTTAAAGAGGATATCTAGTCCTATATCACAGTATCGATACGATACGATGTATTGCCCATCCCTATGCGGAGGTTCACAAATGAAGCTGAATGCTTACCATAATACCAAACTCTTTGTCCTCTACAAACCCCAATCAGAGGGAGAAGGACCACATCCGCCGACCCATGAACGCATTCATGATCTTCAGTAAACGCCACCGGGCCCTGGTGCACCAGCGGCATCCCAACCAGGACAACCGCACCGTCAGCAAGATCCTGGGGGAGTGGTGGTACGCTCTGGGGCCCAACGAGAAGCAGCAGTACCACGATCTGGCCTTCCAGGTAAACACGCTGTAAAATGATTTAAGTGTCTCTTTTTTCTGTTGGTTACTTCTTATAGAGTGGTGCAGTGACGAGTCCTAAAACCCGGAAGTGAGTTAGCATTTTACCACTACGGGTTCCCTCGTCTCAGAGTCATTGGGATTTCTCCATAGGATTTGGGAAAATAGCTGGAAATAAGGTCTGTGGTTGACACAAATTTAAGAGACGGATCACGTTTTGTTCTACGACATTAAATACATCAGCAGTGACCCCACTGGTGATTTTTGAAGAGTTTACGTGTCTGAAAAACGATGGTTGTTAACAAGTGGCTGAATAGCACTACAGAAATTGTCCAGGCCGTTTTACGTCATTACACCGAACACGTAAAACACTCCCTCTAAGTTTGTTTGCCCTGTTCTGCTTGAAAGCAAGTACCTGCCTCTTGCAAACTGTTCAAACAAACGCTTCAACTTGTACCATTTTGAATCTGTATGTTTGAATATGGATCTTAAGTTGGCGTGACGTTGAAGCAGCGACCCTGCTGTAGTTCGTTTATAGCATAACGTTAGCATTTTGCTTCTGGCGATTAGATTTATGATTAGAAAATGATAAAAGTAGGGTAGACATGTGGATATTATCCGGCTGAACAAAACGTGCATTTATCAAACAGGTTCGTTTTCCACAGACCTTATTTCGAGCTATTTTCCAAAATCCTATGGAGAAATCCCATTGCTTTTTTGTTGAGGGAACCCATGCGCAGTTTACTTCCGGGTAAATACGTCATCCCTGCACCACTCTATTGCCATGCCAGATTAGTCAATCTTGAGCCATCATATCAGAGCTTTTTAATTTGAGACATCCAGGTTTATAAACAGCAGCTTGTCTTGCATCCACAACAAATAAAGACCCACTGCACCTCTTTATCCTCCTCCAGGTGAAAGAGGCCCACTTCAGAGCCCACCCAGACTGGAAGTGGTGCAACAAGGACCGCAGGAAGTCGCTGTCAGAGGGCCGCGGGACGCCAAAGGAGTCACGGGAGAGGAGCATGTCGGAGAGCATAGGTGTGTGTTTATTAGCATTGATTAACATTTACAAGCTAATGTAAAATATGCCATTTACAAGGAAAATGAGATCAATGAAACACCAACTGCTTTGAATGTTTTGTCAGTTATCAAGTCTAACAAAATCTACTGTATTATAAAACATTATGCTGATTGAATTGAAGATTGCAGGCTGATGAAGTGTTGTTTTAGATTTTAAAGTATAGATATTCTGTTTTATTGATTATAATGCGATGACACCTTTATATATACAGTCTATGGATGACACACAACGATATTTTATCTTTGATCAGAGTCTTTCTCTTCTCCAGATCCCCATCCAGACCCTCAGGTGCTGCTGGAGGGGAAGGGGGGAGGCTCGGGCTGGCAAGGGGGATCAGAGCGTCGAGGGGGAATGTTCGGGGGGCAGCACTCCCGTCCCCGAGCCTTTTCCCAGAGTGCCGTGCACACCCTGGAGCAGAAGGAGAGAGAGAGAGAACTGGAGAAGGTAGGCGGTTGTTAATCTGTAGCTCAAAGGCAGCAGAGAGACTCGGGAGATTTTACAATGTGCAGCAACATTTTGGAGAACGGGTTTTAATTTAACCTTAAAGCTAGAGAAATAAAAAATATTTTGCTTTAAGATTAGTCGAGTTTCATTCAAGCACTTAAAACTAGTTTATTACATTAAAGAAAAAATGCAGAAATGAAAAGCAACACCCAGCAATCCCCAAAAACACACAGACATGTGTGTGTGAGTGTGTTTATTGAAAGCAGACGTGTGTCCTTCACACTGCAAAGCCTTCTGGTTGAACTCACAGAAAGAGTTCAATTGGACTCTGAATTCTTTGTGTGAGGGCTCGAGTTTATGCTGCTGAAGCTCTGGGGGAGCTCAGCCTCCAACTTCAAAGGTTCCACTTTCTACTTTTTTAGAGCCTTTGAAGGCTCTGTGGTGTTTGCTGCTGCGCTCCTAATCACGGAGGGATAGGCCTGCATGCTAGCTCTTTTGTTTTGAAGGCATTCGTTTAATGCTGGTGGCGTGGCTGTATGCATGCTTTGATAATATTGCTTCTGTCTGATGTATTTTTTCTGATGTACTTGAAGGCTAACTTAAAGTTTTCTATGTGTTTGTCTATTAGTCACTAATAGGGACCATAGGGGTTCATACTTGTATTTAGTGCCTCTATTCTGACATGTCTCCATGCTTTTATGTTCAAAAAGCTCTTTACTTTTCTCATACTGCCTGTGTTGCAGCACCTCTTTTCACCCTCTGTCTGAAACCAGAGCCCAGTCTGCTATGATTGGTTAGCTGGCCAGCTCTGTTGTGATTGGTCAACCGCTTAGAGATGTTCCACCCCTTAACAAATGAATGTCAAATGGAGGCGTTTCAGGCAGGGGGTGATAGTGTGGGAGAGAAACTCCCTCTGAAGGGAACTTTGGGATTTAAGCCTTTGCAGACCATTTACATGCACACAAACCTATATAACACGACAGGAAAGGGAAAACCCCAAAGCATATTAGGGCCTCCTTAAGTATTTAGAGAGAACTATGTAAACAGTCTCCGATGTAATGGCTTAGGACAATTCTGCACAGAAAGTGCTTGTTTTTTCCACTGACAGGCTCAGATTTGTATTCCAAGTGTCTGAAACCTTATGGAAAGGCCCCTGAAGAGAAATAAAACATAATGTTTTACCTTTCGCTTGATCAGGTCTGTTTGTTCTTTGGTCATGTGACTTTTTGCCAGAAGACAATGGTGGTGAGAATTGGAGGGAAGAGTGCTGGTTTCTTTACAGGTACAGAAAGTGTAGCTTGGTGTTATCTGAAACATTTTCAAAGTCATTGTTGTATTTGTAGCTGTTTGGATGCAATGCAAATTAAAGACTCTGTTTGACACAGTAACTAAAACATTTATTTAATTTTGAGACACCTATAATAACAGCCTGAGCCTGACGGTGGCATAAAACCCTTTATAACGGCGTCCAGAAGTGCCCTGAGTGAGAACAATGCAGCGCTCTTACTCAATACTGGACCAATTTCATAAAGTGTTGTCCCCATTAGTGACTAAGACCAGAAGACATTGTAAAAGAAAGGGGTTCCAGGTTGAAAAAGTTACTATTTTGTTCAATTGTAAGACTGTTAACATTTTCTTTTTGTATTCATTTGTTATCAGGAGGGTGCAAGTTCTTTTCGGCACCGACCCCTCGCTCAGTCCATGTACCACGGCGAGGACGTGCCTAGCGACGATGAGCGTATGGTCATCTGTGAGGAAGAAGGAGACGATGATGTCATGGGTGAGTGAGATGATCAGCACGGTGGTCTCGTGGTGGTTAGAGAGACTGTTGCATAACCACAAAGTCATAGTTTCAGTTCCCACAGCGATCAGTGTGACTTAGAAAAAGACAATGAACATCAGCCTGAGTCAGAATGACTGTCTGCTGAGCCTCAGCCCTGGGCTATTAAATCGCTAGTGTTAGAATAAAGCATAACAATAGCACATAATTGGCAATTTGGTGGTGATACTGGCGGTTTGAGGGCACTGATTGCAAATGAAATCAGTTCAAAGAAACAGTTGAAATTATATTGTGTGTTAAGTCGTCTTTTCTAAAATGTATTAACACTAACTTCTGATATCTGTGTCCCATCCTCAGATGACTCCTGTCCTGAAGGCTCCATTGATCTCAAGTGTAAAGAGAGAGTGACAGACAGCGATGAAGACGAACCAGATGGACAGGTAGCTGCAGAGATCATCATATAACTCGAGTTACTGTCCACACTGGACCTCAATTTGAGCTAGATTTTCAATAGTTTTTGGTCTGCTCACTATGTTATGGAGATGAACAAAGGAGTTCAATAGAGGCGTTTTAGGCAGTGTTTGGGACAGAACTTTGGGATTTTAGCCTTTGCAGACCATTTATATGCCCAAAAAGCCATATTACACACTACAGGAAAGGGGAAACCCCAAAAAGCATAATAGGGCCCCTTTAATGTAGCTCCGTTGCCTTGCTTTAGTGTTATAACTATCTCTTTTTCTCCAAACTGTGGGTGTGCTGGTCACACTTAGCATGAATAAGTACCTCATATAACCCCACTTTAAACAATTGAGCTAGTAACTTCATGTTTTTTATGAAGAAGAGAAAAACACTCCGTAGTAACTTTCCTATCTTTGATCTCTCTGTCTCTCCTCCCTCCAGCATAACTTCCAGCCAGTGGTTCGCTCCTCTCTCCCTTCTTCCTCTCCCCCCATCCTAACCTCCGCCTCAGCAAAAGGGAATGGAGAAGGAGGAGGAGGTGGTGAAGAGGGGTCTGAGAGGAACAGAAAGAGAGGTACAGACGGAGGAGAGGAGGGGAGCGAAGGAAGAGCCAAGAGAGAGGAAACAGCAGCAGGACCCAACAACAGGACTCTGTCCATAGCAGACCCAACATCCAGCCCCAAGGCTTTGGCCCATCAGGGTGTGACCCAGGTCCTAGGCGCCGTCCGTGTGGCTCCCACTACGGTTACCAACGTGGTACGACCCATCGCCAGCACGCCCATCCCCATCACCAGCAAGCAAGTGGAAGGATCCGCCACCCTCAGCTCAGTGCCTCAGGACAAGAAATCCACTCTCCTGATTGGAGGAGGAGGACCTCAGCTGCTGCCAATCACCGCAGGGGGTGGGTACCTGTCCTCATCCTCCTCCCCTGGTCCAGTCAGTGTCACTCCTATGGGGGGTCTGGTCACTAGTCTAGTTCTGGGAGGGTCCTTTCCCGTCGCCCAACCAGTTCACCTCCTCGCCACTGAGCAGCCGCACGCACAAACCCCCCTCCCCGCCCCGCAGCCCCAGCTCCACCCCTCTGCCGCCACCTCCTCCCTGACACCCCCCGCCGGCCCCAAGCCGATAGCACAGGTCCCCTACATCCTGCCTACCGAGAACCCCTCCTCCCCTCAACTCACCCACCAGCAAATCCTCTCCCTGCCCACCAATGCCTCCCTGGCCAATGGCATGCACTCAGGGGCGGGACTCAGAGTTGCATCAGTCAGCCCCGGAAGCAGAGGTGAGACAGAGAGCAACGATAGGCGGACAAAAAAACTAAAAAGCAGAGTTTTGACTTTGTGTTTTTACCATAAACTGTATATAAAGATGGTCTTCGTCCCACGGTACAAAGTCTTGTTCTGACGTAATATGGAGCCAGAGTTTACGCAGTAATGAATGGAGGGCATGGAGCCACGGAATCAGGGTCCTGCCCAAACTCATCGCTAGCTTAGCACTACTGCTGCTTTTTTAGTGTGAGCAAACTAGCTGCTATATTAGCAACATGTTAGCTGGTTGGCTTAAAAGACGCTCAAACTAACTGTATCGTTATCAATACAGTTACGACCAAATTGCAGGATGTCTTATTATATACTGTACAAATATCAGCATTGGTGTCTGAGAAACGTCATATCACTGTCTGTTATCACTGATATTGCCACAAAGCACTGGCTAACCTTTCTGTAAATAGAAGGTAGCGACATGATCAGTGATACCACAAGACGACAAGATCATGAACAGATTATTGTGTTAGAAACAGTCACGGCCTTGGTAGGATAACTTACTTCTCCTGTTGCAATTCTTATATAGATTTCCTAAGAATCTTAATTCTTAAGATTAGCTGTCAATACTCAAGCCATTTATATAGCATTAAATAACTAATTAAAATGAAATTAACACTTGAACATACAAATGTGATAAAAACGACCTAAAAAGCAGTATTTGCGGAAAAACATTTTTGACCTGTACATTCTGACTTATTCGTTTAGCTCACGTCAGCTAACATGGAGGGAATAAAGACTGCAGCAGCCAGGGGGGGATTGAGATGCTTTGGCTTCACTTTTAAGATGTCATCCATCTTTATATACAGTTTAACGGGTCCACTGACAAATGTTCTTTTAGCTGTAGTTAATCATCTCCTCCGGAAGCTCTCAAAATGGATTTGATTGGCTTACATAAACGGGAGATAAATGATTGACAGGAGAAATACTGTTGACATGAGTATGAGTGCCTGCCGCCCACCCGTGCCTTAATCACTCTCTATTCATACTGAAGCACATTGTTCCCCCTCGTTATCAGAGAGGAATTTCACTATTATCAGCCTCTGAAATGCCGCCGCCCACCCGTCCCTCCTGTGCTGTCCTCACCTCACCCCTTTTGGCTCGATTCATCCGTTTCTCACGCTGAGTGTTTTAATTCCCTCTCTCCTTCTCACTCATTAGTTCAAACCCAGTCGCCGGGTTTGCCGAGCAAGATGTTGGTTCCCATGGCAACAGTGAGATCAGGATCTACTCCTCCTCATCCCTCCATTTCCCTGGTCGCTCCGCCTCTTCCTGTGCAGAACGGCGCCGCCACAGGAAACAAGGTGAGGATGTCAACAGGTCCATTGAAACAAGTGTCAACAGCGTAAAATATAAATAGACGCCACCTTGTTTGCTAAATCCACAACGGCATCAGCAGCATTTAAACTAGGCAGTAGGCATGATGGGAACTAAGTGGATTTATGCTCATGTTTTACTGCCACCTGCTGCACTCTTTACCTACTTCTCATTGGTCAGATTTGGAATTGAAATTATTGAACCAAAAATACAAAATATTTGCTGGTAAGAGCTTATTCAATATAATGATTTGCTTTAAATCTCATCTTATATATAAATATAAATTGAATAATTGTGACTTTTTGAATGTTAGACAGATAAACCCAAGCATTTAATGACTTTAATATCCTGATTAATGCATTTTATATCCTTAATTGATATACTTGATATTAGATATAGCACAGCATATAGAGCGCTGCTATTAATCATACTATGTCACGTTATCTCATAACATGTCACTTGACTTACTTGGTCTGGAATAGTTATTACTTGTATAGTTTCTATCATAGGGCTCGTGTCCACATGGCTCCTTTTTCTGAGCGCCACTGGCTTTTTTTGGCCTTTTATTTCAGTTTGTTTGCTGCAACACCTGAACTCCACTCTAGGGATCAAAAAAGACTATCTATCTCTCTGAACCACTCTTTTTTTCCTCTTATCCTTAATAATGAATCTATTAATCAAACCAATTAATGAAATGAGGTGTGAAATTAAAGTATTTGGTAGTTGCAGCGCTGCTGCTGTGCTGCGTTTTATTCAGGAGGGACCCGTTTCTACAACAAAGTGCTACACTTGTTCTGAAGAGATAAAAGCACATTTGATATTTATAAGTTTGTCTCACTGGATACATAACACATTCATGATTAAATATCAGATGTTTTTCCTCTGAAGATTCAGGGTCTATTTTGAGATGAGTTGGTGAGAAAACCCTTTTGTTTGTGTGTTCCCCCCTACAGATCATCCAGATCGCTCCCATGCCAGTGGTGCAGACCAGCGTTCACCCTGGCGGCGCAGCAGCTGTGCACTCAGGGAGCCCTTTTCCTGTTTCTGTGGCGACGGTGATGGCTCCCGGTGCAGCGCCCCCACAGACGGTGCTTCTGACCTCTCCACCCACCAGGTCACTAACACCTGAAACACAACAACTTATATGCTTTTATTTCCCTTACCTAGGGCTTGGAGCTGGTTTAACAGCATTTAAAGATGCTGTGAGATTCCATCTCTGCCAGGTCATTAAGGTTGTTATACTAAATGTAAAGTGAATGTAGGTAAAGAAAGGTAACACTTTGGACTCATTTCACACTCCCTTTGAGCAATGTGACATATAAGACATAATGTAAAAACCTTTTCAAAGTAAAGAAAGGTGGGGAAAAATATATATAGCCATTTGGTCACACTGTTGAAATTGAAAATGGGATTATAGATAATAGATTAAACTGGGCAGATTTTAATCAACAACAATTTCTATAGTAGCCTTTAGTAATATTTTTTAACAAAAATGCCCAAAACTGATCTGATTCATCTTCTTATATATGTTTATTAGTTTCCTTAGTTTGTTAGAAATAAATACAAAAAATTATAGAGCAATTCATAAAAAATTGAGCTAGTTCATAAGAAAATTGTATAAAATGTTTTAAATTATTTTCTGCCACCAAATCTTTAAACCAAACTATGGATCAATCGAGAACATTTTTTCAACTTGCATATATGCAAGTATATATTTGATCCCTCATGTTCCTATCCTGTAACATAAAAAAATAATTTGGAAATGAAAATGTGTGGTTAAGCTAACTTCAAAGTGCTTAAATGTGTCTCTACATAAACGTTATGAACTCTGTATTATACTCAGCTTTATCCAGCTCCACACTCATTGTTCCTCTCTCCTTTAGGATCACATATGTCCAGTCTGGTCCAGGAGTAACCCCGGCAACACCCCAACAGGCCACTCCCCCTCTTGGCTCTGCGTATCTCCAATCATCCCTGGCGACCCTGGGCTTCACCGCCATCGCCCCGGTCGGGCAAACTCTGGTTCAGCCTCCACTGTTAGCTCAAGCCCCGCCCCTCAGCTGTCAATCACAGACCCCTCCAGCTCAGGCCTCAGCAACTGCTGGTCGTCAGGTAAAGAGGAGCGAATCACAGAGTGTATTAGTGTCAAAAGAAGATAATAGTGTGTTACATTAGATACTTTTATTATACTTTATATTTGAGTTTTTCTTTTCAGTCCAAAGGCTGAGGTATTTTGTTTTCTTTCTTCTTTTTCTTAGTTTACCAGTAGTGTAAACAAATCCTTATTCAAATATTTAGCTTCAAAGATTTTGAATGTTGTCATTAGCACATGCAGCTCCAAAGGGCAGCAGGATTAATATTATAAAGTCATAAATACATTACTTTTGAAACATTAAGAAAATTACTCTAAGCAACTAAGGAAATACGGCTGTGACCTTTGACCTCTACACTAACTTCTATGTTTTTACAAAACAGAAAGATGGAATATTCAACCATAAAAATAAGTTTACTATTTCTAAGAAAAAATAAATGTTTACCAAAGAAGTAATTTATATATTTGACTCTATTTCCACTTATCCCACTGCTTTAGATTACCTTCTAATGACACGTTCACTGTTGGCCTGTTACACCCCTTTTTGAAGGTAACACACAATGTGTTGTTTACTGACATGCTTCCTCTCCATCAGGTACTAACTGCCATCTACCCTGCACCACCCGCTGCTCTGCCTGCTAGGGTGGTCTCTGTAGCCCCCGCACCGCCTGCAGTGGCCCCTGCGGCCCAGGACGTGATGGACCCTTCCTCCCCGTTACAGACGGGGGTGCAGGGTTCAGCGGCGGCGGCCCTTCAGCCTTACGAGGCGGTGAAGGTGAAGGTGGAGGTGAAGAAGGAGAACCTGCTGGATGGCCCGCCTGAAGATGGAGGACAGGAGTTATCAAGCTCAGCTGCCAGCTCTTTATTGACTATTCATGAAACAGCAGGTAACACTCCACTGGTTGGTTTAGGGTTCAGTGTTCAAAAATAAAAAATGTCAACTGATCTGAATCACAATATTACAGGGAATTACCATTTTTCAAACATTAATCACTTTATCAGAGAAAAATATATTATAATAAGGCTCTGTACCAAACATGGATTTGTCTGTAGAATACCATTTTTGTTTTACATATTTAGCTTTTACCAAATATTGTACTAGTGGCGATTTCCATAAAATGTACATTAACTGTGCAGCCCTAATTGTCGAAATAAGATATCAAGATATTGTTTAAAAATACAGTGACATTTGATTTTCTCAATATCACCAAGCCCCAATAGGGTTTAATTAAGGAGCTGTATACGACACTACATTCTTCTACCTGTAAGACAATATCATTAACTATACGGATTTGTAGCTATTAGAGTCTGTATTGGAACCTTGTGAAATATAGGTATCGGTTTTCACATCATCAAGATTGCAAAACATATGGAAGATTAAATATTGTCAAAATTGTCAATTATGGGAATACATTTTTCCTTACATTGAATGTAAACAAATGTGCAGTATTTGAATATCATAGTCTGAAATGATCTGTATTTGTTCCAGTTAAAAAAGAGGAGGACGTCGGTCTGTACATCAAAGAAGAGTACCTCAGCAAAGAGGTGAGAAATCAAGATTAGATAACCTTCTCTAGAAACCTCTCTAAGGAAGTCGAAGAACTACTGTGGATCGTACACTTACACAACTGTACAAGAATACACTAGAATGTCTTTTTCTTGGTGGTTTTTATCCGTTTTTTCAAATAAACTTTGCAGACCATTTGCATGCACACAAACATATATAACACACTACAGGAAAGGTCAAACCCTGAAAAAGCATGATAGGGCCTCTTTAAACTCTCTCCCTCTCCCTCCAGGCTGGACCTCGCACCCCTCCTCCTCCACCCCCTGGTTTGGACCCCCCTCCCCCTCCCCCTGCGGAAAGAGAGCCCCCCTCTTCCTCAAAGAAGACCAAGTTCAGACCCCCGCCGCTCAAAAAGACACCTGACTCTCACGAAAAGTAAGTGGGAAAAGAAGTGGCACTAGCAGGGCGCAGGTCTGAGGGAATGAGTCCTTCCTCTTTTTATTGAATCAAATATACAGTGAGTGCTCGTAAATGAGGAATTGAGAAGTTAAGTGCTTTGTTATCACTCAAACCCAGCCTCGTCTTTGACTGTAAGACAAGCTTTTATTAAAGTCCGGAGCCATCCTCTCTTATCAGACTCAAGTTATTGCTCTTGTGTAATCCGTGCCAAATGCAAAATACAACAAAGTCTGCCTGCTCCTTCTGTCTTTCTGCTCGTGGTAAGACTTTGTTCTCTCTATTTTAACAGTTTTCACTTTCTCAAGCATATAACAGTAGCATATCTTAGTGTGTGAAGCAGCTTGAGGATGACATGACAAGCACCCTGGACATGACTCAGATTTCACACATTGTGGCATCTAGTCTTTTGACCAAACCTCCAACTCCACAAAATGATGGTGGAAACTCTTTGTGTACTGAATGTGAGTGGGCAGAGTGCTCACTCTTTATATTCTTTATTTAGACACTTGGAAAGTGGTTCGGGAAGCCACAAAGAAGAGAGAGCTCTGGCGGATTTAGCCCTGAGGCTTGAGGAATGTTTTAAACAGCAAAGGCCCGGGCTGGGGACTGACACCATCTCTGTGTTCTCTGTGTGCAGGGTCTTGTCAGAGACGTACTTCGAGGAGCGTTTTGCTGAGCTCCCAGAGTTTAACCCAGAGGAAGTCCTGCCTTCGCCCACTCTGCAGAGCCTGGCCACCTCGCCGAGAGCCATCCTGGGGAGCTACCGCAGGAAGAGACGCAACTCCACCGGTGAGAAGCCGAAAAAGAGAGGCTCTCTTTGATCCAGTGGTGGAGGAAATACATAGATCTTTAAGTAAAAGTGCTAATACCAGAGCAAAAATACTCTTTCAGTAATAGTCCTACATTCCAAACCTTTTGGAAGTAAAAGTTTGTAGGTATGATCAGCAACATTAACTTTAAGTATCAAAGGTAAAAGTAGTCATTGAGCTGTAAAATGTTCCTTATAAGGGCTTAACTATTATTTATGATGCTTCTGGATTAATATTACATTGCAGTACATGTCATTAAGCTGGCACTTGTTTCCAAAGTGACTTGCATACACTTCAATACCATAGACATGCCTACAGAACCAGTTAGGGTTAGTTATTTTAGGGACACTTTGGCATGCTGTGTGCACTGGTTTTGGTTCGAACCACCGACCCTCTGCTTGGTATAGGCCCATTTACAACCTGAGCCACAGCCAAACGACTGCATGTGTATGCTGTGTTTAAATGCTGTAGATGTAGAAGTTCTGTATATGTATAATCTAAAATGTACTTGTAGTGTAAACTGTAGTGGAGTATTAATTATACTATTGCATTAAATGGAAATACTCAAGTAAAGTACATCTAATTTTTATTTTCTGCTCAAGTTCAGTACTTAAGTTAATAATAAATACATAACAAATAAGTAACATTTTCAACAGCCTTTTTTACATATAATTTGAAATTAAGAATATTTGTATCGCATTGCATGTCTGCTTCTTCCACGTTCATTCCTCCTATTCCTTATTTGTACCCTGCTTTATTCTGAATTCTTCTTTTCCTCCATATTCCCCTTCTCCACCCTCCACATGTCATGTGTTCAGAGCTGGAGGTGACAGCAGAAGAGCCCAGCTCCCCGAGGAGGAAGACCCGCCGTCTCTCCAGCTGCAGCTCGGAGCCCAGCACCCCCAAGAGCGCCGCCAAGTGTGAGGGAGAGTTCTTCACCTTCGACAGAGCAGGTACGGCAAGCACATCAGGGGCAGCAGCTGCACACCTGCATCACACGGTGCATTGAGAGTGACATGGTGTGTTCCTTCTTCATGCAGGTACAGAAGGAGAGGATCTGCTTGGAGATCTGGACCGGGTCCCCTACTCGTCTCTGCGCAGAACTCTGGATCAGCGCCGGGCCCTGGTCATGCAGCTGTTTCAGGAACATGGCTTCTTTCCCTCAGGTAAACATAGATAGGACAGGACGTCATGGTAAAAACTGAGATGGAGATTTAATATTGTGAATGTTTAAAACTATGCAGCCAAGATGTACCTTTATATAGGGTCTGTTCCTTTATTCCTGCTGAAACAGTCACACTTACATAATGCAAGAAAAACACTTTCCAAATTATTACAAAAACAGCTTTACGACTTTCTAATTGGAGAACATCCATTATATCAAAACTTCCAAACAACCTACTAATGCAGGTTGGAATTAAAAGACACTTCACAATAATTACATAACATTTTATTTAGCTGAAGCTTTTACCCAAAAGTGTAATTAACCATGAAAAATACTAACTCTGAACAGCAAGAAACCTGCAAGTACATTTGCTACAAATAAGCATTTTTTCCCACCTCATTTGATCAGGATAACCAGAATTAGAAACTGGTTTATTCCCAACTAGGGAAACACATACAAGGAATTTGCCTTGGTGTATATGGTGCATACATAAACAAAGTTAAAGAAGATACAATGTCATAAAAGTACAAAAATATAAAATGATTATAAAAATCTATTAAAAAAACTATTATAACATTAAAATATAGAGAAATATTTAAATGAAATATAAATATACCAAAAAACTGTGTGTTATTACAAAATATGTGCAGTATTGGTAAGTGGGGAGCTGTGCAGATATAAGAAGAGGTAGCTTTGTGTACAAATGTGAAAAAAGTTCAGAGGGTTGTGCAGGACTGACAGTATTTAAATGAACACGATATTGTTGTTATTTTGTATAGTGTATTTTGTTATTTATACTATTTTAAAACTCAGATATACCTGAATCGTTCATTTTTTAATGATACGCAAAACTGCTCAAATAAATTATATTGCACATGCAATCTGTAGCAATTACTGCCTTTATCAGTGACTTACAGGATATATGGTTACACAGGTACACTTTTTTAATTGATCATATCAACAGAGAGCAGTTGTAGGCAATAAAAAAGTCTCAGGCTCCAGGAAACAATACTAATTAAATATGTTTATAAAAGATAAGGAAGATGATGCAATTAAAAAGAAATGGGACTCTTAACACGCATGCATTATGTCAAATATATATTACTTGATATCCTACACTGTTTATATCACCTGCTCTATCTCCTTCCAGCTCAGGCCACAGCTGCCTTCCAGGCACGTTACTCGGACACCTTCCCCTCCAAGGTGTGTCTGCAGCTGAAGATCCGCGAGGTCCGTCAGAAGATCATGCAGACGGCCACGCCCGGGACCCTGGAGCCCGGAGTGTTAGCGGGGTTAGCTGAAGTGAGCCCCACCCCGCCCCACAGCTCCTCTTTCAATCAATCAGCGCGGGAGGAGGGAGGGACGGAGCAGCACCGAGACAAAGGCCGGAATCCAGAGGGGCCGAAAAGCGAAGGATCGTAAAGCGGTAGAGGATGACAAAGTGGAAAAATCCAGGAAAAGAAGAAGAGAGAGGAGTGTGTCATCCCCGCAGAATGTTCTTGTATGTGTTGAGTACTGTTAATGGCTCCAGCGGGATCCGTTCTTTTGGCACTTATCTCCACCAGACCTGGGAACGAATACATTTTACTATGGTCACAAATATTCAAACTACTCAAGGTGCGCTTGATTCGCCTTATTAGACTTTTTATAATTTTTAAAAAGCCTCAAAAGGGGACAAATCATTTGCAAGTCCTGACGAGTCAAATGCTTCTTGTAGTTTCCTTTTTTCCCCCTAAGTATCCAGAATATATTCAGTTGGCCCAGGTCTGCTCTCAGCACATTTGTACAGTAGTTTTTAGTATGAAACTCACACAAACACTGGTGCATATGTAATCTCCAGCATGCACATGATCCCACATACACACACATGCACACACACCCTTACCAAATCAGACTGTTACTCTTGGTCGGCAGTCCCCGGGAGCAGCCACCAAGGACCATGACACACAAAGGCACTTTGTCACTTATCGTGCAGATGCAGTTTGCTGTTGCCAGCCAGACAGCCAGCCAGCCCTCAGATGCCATTGACTCGACCTCCTTCTCGCCCTTCCACTCCTCAGCACAGTGGTTGGGACGCAAACACAACCCCAACGACCTCCACTGATATTCCACAGCCCCTCGATGCTGCAAGACAGACAGCACACACACATATACAGTACACACACACACACACACACACACACACACACACACACACACACACACACACACACACACACACACACACACACACACACACACACACACACACACACACGCGCGCGCAGTGCATGGACACATATGTGCAGTGTGAGCACTCGTACAAGAAATCGTCAACCCTGGTCTGACCAAGCCATCGGCCTGCACAGTTTTTTGTGATTGTAGTGAGAAGAGAAACTGACAGCATGAAATCTTTTTGCTCCTGGAAAACAAAGAGAAGGCGGGAGTTGCGATGTAGTGTGACCAATCTTTGCACCTTCAGTTATTGCCATTATGAAAGACACAGTCCTCGTTGGCAGGAGCTGATTATATATATATATATATGTCTGTATGTCTGTTGGGGTTCCCTTCCCCAACAGCCTGTGTGAACAGGCACCGTAAAGAGATTATGTAAAGACTATTGGTTGTGAGGCTTTGAAGAATCCACGTTAAGTTGGACCGGCTCCCGACAGAGCGCAGAGAAAAAGACAGAAGATGAAGAAGAACCTGGATGATGCTCATTGGACGGAAGATTCATATTCCACCTATAGGAAGACAGATATTAATAGTGAATAAGGACATGACAAGCTTTCCAACAGAGAGAAAAAAGTAGAAATGTAACCAAACTTCTCTGAATCTCCCAGTGGATATAATGTTGCTTTCTCTTGTTATCGTTGCCGTGGAAATAACCAGTTTTACCGTGGCCTGTTTTTCTCTTGTGGCTCTATTGTGTTTCTTCTCCGGCATAAAAAAATCACAAAAAAAAAAAACTCTGGACAAAGACGGGGGACATAATCAGTCTGCGCCCCCACAATTTTAATTGTACCTGGGGCGGTTCTCACCCCCCCCCCCCTCCTTTCCCAATATCTCTTCTCTTCGATTTCTCACCAGACAAAGAAGTGGGGGAGCAGGGGGCGTTTGTCGTTTTGTAAAAACGTTGAAATCAGGTGTTTGCACAATTCGTGTGGCCCTTCTAGCCGCAAGTTAAATCAGGAAAGTATTGTTTTTAGAGATTGTTTTAGTAGTTAAAATAATAACCTTGTTCCGTATGTTATCAACCACCTTATTCCTCCTTACTCTTTTTCCCTTCCTCTCCTCCCCATTTTACCTCCCTTGACCCCTCAAGTGTTGTTAGAAAGTGCCCTTAAGCACTGGTCCCGGGTCAAGCGCTATGTAGCTCAGGATGGTTCTGGTTAGGGTTAGTTCAGGGAAAGCAGATCCTAGACCAGCCCTGGAGGGCAGTCTCTGGAGCCCTCCCCTCTTCCCTCTCTTCTCAACACTTTATCCTTTCCCGTCAAATGGTGCAATAGGACATTTATTTTTTTGGAAATGGGTGCGTTATTTTGTTTGGGGAAAGGCTCTGTGCCATAGATATTAAAACCAGTGCAGTCAGTCAGTGAGAGGAAAGAGCTGTTGTGATACTGTCTTTAACTATGGTATAAAACAAAAAAAGAATCACGCAATTGTTGTTATTGTCAAAGAGATAGAGTATAACTTACTAAAAGTCAAAGACAATTTTTGAATAGCACTTTTTGGCTCTTTGCTTCCTCGTGAAGAGTGGGGGTAGTTATTATCATGGGTATCTCTTTTATTTCTCTGTATACAGTTGGATGTGTGAAAAAATATATATACCGGTATTTCCATATATGTGCATTTAGGTCTGTGTTTGGGTGTGTGTGTGTGTGTGTATGTGTGTTTTGGCACATGCGGGTAGTGTGTTAACACAACCGACCTCTTGTTCTTTCTCCACACTGCAAAATCATCAAAAGTATATTTTTCATTGTATTCTTCATTATATATTCTACAATAGAGACAGTATTTTTATAGTCACCATGACTATTTTGTCCGCCATCTTGACTGTTATCAAACCCAGTTGATTCAGGATATATATAAAATATATATTCAGGATACTATAAATAAATATATATAAATACACACAGGTAATAGAGGACTATCAATTTGGGGGTTAGGGCTTTAAAGTGTCCATCTGCATGCATGTGAAATCCCATGCACACATGCACACACCCACCAAGACATATGTGCATACACACACATGTATGTGTGTACACTGTATGATTGTGCTTAAAAATAAACTGTCCTTACTTTGGAGAAGGAATTTTAGGATGAGCGATGTGAGTGTTATCTCATAAGCAGGCATGTTGACCATGTGCAATATTTCTAAACAACAACAAAAAAACTAAATATTGAAAATATTAAAGTTCTAACACAATGTCTTGTGCCCTTGGATTTGTTCATGTCTTTGAACTTCAATTCAGTGTTGAATGTTTCACACACAAATGTATATCTTATTTAAAACACACAGAAGGTGACCATTGAGTTTGATACTATTTTACATTACATGTCACTTGTTAGATGCTTTTATCCAAAGCGACTTACATACATTCAGTACTGTGGACAATCCCCACAGGAGCAATTTGGGGTGCAGTGTCTTGCCCAGGGACACAACGACATGCTGACTGCAGTGGGACTCGAACTTGCTCTTGTGGCTCTGTGTTTCTTCTCCGGTTTCCTGATTCGAAAGTCCAGCACACTATCCACTGAGCCACAGCCTCCCTATTTTCTGATGTATTGCAATATGTGCTTATTATTTATTTCACCCCAAAAGGCAGTGGAGACGAAAAAAATAATATATTTTGACAAATGAAGAGGATTACCAGATGCAGTCACTTGACCCACCAGTCAAGTCCAACAAATCCCTGGAACGTACAGTGTGTACTGTACACTGACCTTTATCAAGCATCACAGTGTTAATAGTGCTTATTAAGTAGCCTTTTAGATTGAGGTCATATTGGCATAAGAATGGTGTTTAAACCAAGCAAAACATATTATAATATCACTGATTATATTGAATACGATTTGAAAAGCAAATTTAGTTGAAGACATCACGATGCTGAACCTTCTAAATATCTGAAAGTATTTCCATTTTCATTAATAGGATTCCAAGCAGTAGAAGTACTTATTCACAGATTTCAAAGTAAGGTTGCAAAGTACTTTATGGATGAGCTACACTAATCTCTAATGTCAAAAAATATAAAGTGGAGAGCATCATTCCACTAAAGGGTTAACTTCATTTATGTATCTGATGAATTTTGACGTAACACTAAAATGTTAAGCCTATCATTGTTATGTTTTTATATATACTGTTACTATAGCTCTATTCCCGGCCTATATCCACTGTTAAGTCATTTTAAATGTGTAGTTGCTTTGACTTGTTAAAGCCTGTGCAGCAAACCGGAGCAACAGCTACATCGAACTTCATCTCCCATGTGGCATTGCGAGCGGTCTGTTTCTAGGTGTCTAGCAACAGCTATCAGCCCAGACAGCCGGCGGCAACGGGAGCGGTATTTCTCGGTGTCTTTCCACGATTATTCGCTGCCGGGTGTATATTATTAATAGTCGCTAGGCTGAAAATAGTGAAAGAACAACCCTGACCCCTGCACAGAGATATGAGCGGCAGCGGGCGGCCCAGGACCAGCTCGTTTGCTGAGCCGCCAGGTGTTCAAGGAACCGCCGCTGCGTCCACCGGATCAGCCGCTGCCGTGGGGAGCAGCACAGGAAAGTCCGGGGTCGCGCAGGCCTCCGGCAGCAGCTCGTCGGGATGCTCCAACCTAAAGCTTGCCAGTAAGTTCTTATTATCCAACCGGGTTTTATCAGACTATGTGTATTCGATATATTATGCTATGTGCTTTTGCCTCAGACATACCCTCAAGTGTTAATTTTCGCAACCCGGAGTAAAGTCGTTATTGCTCTTGTGTAGTGGTGTTAGCCAACTTGCTAACATGCTAACTTGTTAGCATGCTAATGTTAGCCACTTGTTTTGTATCTTACTAGTTCCCCTACTGGTGTCAAACTAAGCAGCTTGGTGGCCATCAATATAACCCACTGAAACGTTGGACATGTTATCAAAGAATCTTGTTATTTATGATAAATGACAAGCTACGGGTATTTTTGACTTCACTGTGGTCAATGCGAGTGAGCATTAAAACGGGGCTCTGTTGTTCTTTGTGGCCAAGCTCTTCTCAAATATACTAGCTTGAATGCTGCATTCAGTTATGTTTTTGATGATGTTGTTTGAGAGTGGGGCTTAGGCTATCAGCTTGGCTTGTCTGCAGAAGGGTCAGGACGTAAAGTTGCCTGTTCACCAAGGTCACCTGTGGGGCAAGGCTTAGCAGCAGGTGGCCCACGCCTGGAGGATGCAAGTGATGCATGTCCAGCACAAGAGCTGTGCTGTCTACTGGGATGCCAAGGAGCTATGCCTCTTTATCACCATAGTGACAGGTGTAATGGAGATATGTATGTGTGTTTGCATGTGTTAATCCAACCCTTATCATCCATTAGCAGGCAGTGGTGTGTAACTTTGATATAAGAGCCCAAATGGGAGGTCATCTCCAGTTCAAAACAGGGTAGCCTTGTTTTCGCTCACCCTCACCCTCAGCATCACTGCCCTAGGCCCTTAAAGTAAAAAATGTTGCCTTTAACTGGTAAAGATGAATGATGGATACATTGTCAATGTTGGGAGACCTTGTTGAGGCTATTTCAAGGGGATGGATTAACCTAGTTAGTTAATTGTTTATGAAAGAGAATAATTTGATATTTAGAATGACTGGTCAATCAAAATTGGACATAGAGCATTAGAGATGTATAGTTGCCACACCAACCATTGATCTCATTATGTAGAGTGGAGGATGTTTGAGGATGAAATTAAAAGGGTTATCATTAAGTCCCTCTGTTGTTATTAACAGCTCTTCATACCATTTTTCCACAACGTGGCATCTTGTTACATGTAGTTCTTAAGTGAACTTTGTGGATCAACCTTATTCATTTTTTCTTTGGTTACACAAAGTAAAACTACTGATCAGCCTCTTCATGGGCTAGGAGCGGCCGGCAGATTACGTAAAATGTTTGTTAACCAGCTGCTTGGTGTTGAGGTGGTTTGCGGCGATGAGTAGACCCAGTAGATATACAGAATCTGAAACATTATAGCAGCTGGTGTAAATGTCACAAGGAGCAACTGACAAGCCCAGACATGTCTTGTCAGTGAAAGGAAGAGGTGGTACTGCACTTGAATGACTCTTAATGAACTATTTTAATGTGATGGCATTTGTCCTGATATGAATACATTTCTATTCCACTAAAATATTTGCTAATTTGAATTTCATATCAACTAAGGAGCACAACTGAGGATTGAATGACTTGACCTTTTGTTAAAGAGGTTTTGTATACTGTTGAGATATTACACCCAGGGAGATTTAAAAATAGGGCTCAGAGCTGTAAACCAGAAAACTTTCCCTCATCTCAGTATAATTACCACGGCTGCTGTGACAGCATCCAGACAGTTGTTCCATTATTCACTGTCGGTGGAGCAGCTCCAGGATTTGTCTCTGGTTGACATCATCATCACACTCTTGTTGTTGTCCGGGTTAAAGCATTTCAGCGCTGAAAGATTTCCTGATACTGGGCTGTACATGACCCCAAAAAAAAAGACTTAAAGAGGGGTGGAATGACCATTTGCTTAAAAGGTGAAAAACATACAACAACCAGCATGCATTGGGCTTATCGCACCACTTTCCTCTCCAGCTTGCGATGCTTGACTCTCGGCTATGGCGGCCCCCTCCTCCAAATGATGGCTAATAAGCAGCCCATAACGTCTGATTTCAGCATTACAACATTAAGATTGGTAGGAAAATGAAATATACACATAATTACAATCTGTAGTTCAGAAGAGCCCTAAAGCTGGCTAACTTAGAGGGGAGCTCTCAGTGCTGGCATGATAACACAAAAGGAAGTTGCGTTGTTCATTTGCATACATTGCCCACATAGTAATAATAAAAAGCTACTTGCACAAGTGTGTAGAATTCCCAAATTAAATTGAACTGTAAAACATTTCAGAAACACATTTACTTAAGTGTGAATGATTCCCTTTATTTATAAGAAAATCATATGACCAACAAAGTGGTGGTAACACAAGATTTCGTCCACTGTTGCTTTATGTAAATGTGACGCTCATCTACTGAAAGACATTATCATGATCCACTGGGAAGTAGACAATGTTTTGATTCTGTTTTTGTGGTAGACTGTCGCATGACCACAATAACTTTAAAACAAAAGATAGTTTGTAAAAACGTAAAGCTTACACCAGAGGTTCTCCCTACTGAGTGGATGGCCTGGTTTGATTTTTGGAAGATCTTGCTGCATTAAACTGCATATTTATAAGGTCAACTTATTTCTGCTGAAACTACTTTGCTTTAAGACGTGAAATTCATTTAAGCACAGTGAGTTTTTGTGAATGAAGAGAAGACATTACAATAGAACATCGGCAACAGAATAGTTTGTGTAGATATAAATGTTTTGTATTATAAAACAAATTCAATTATATGTACCTATTTTATAAAAATGGGTATGGATGTGACAGGGTTTGTAAAATTGCATGTTTTGTAAAGGATTATTTCCTCAGTGAGACTTGAGTTTCCTTCTGTGAATGTCAGGTGAATGACAGGAAGCAGAGTGTGACACAAACGCCAAACTCGCATACAATGAGACAATAATAAAACAGACAGAGCCAGAGTATGACGTCGTCTTTATTATGATAGATTATCGACCTCAGGGAAGTTTAAAGCCTGTGGAAGTAGTTTTTCATGCTGAGAAAAATGAATGGCAGCAGGAAAAGAGCCCTGCTTTCTCTCCCGCTGTACAGGCTGCTGATGCATCAAGAAAAATGTAAGAGGAGCAGCAACTTCGACAGTTGACACAAACGTATCCCTTAACCATCTGTCCTACTTTTAACCTGGAGCCCTGTGTGGGAGTGTATTATGAACCCAGTCACTGAGTTAGGAAAACCCAGTGACCCGGTCACTCTGCAGGCCTCACAGTTTCAGCTGTAACAGATACAACCAGTGTGCCTATTGGGTGACCAGAACACTTTCTGAGGACAGTTTACTGTGAGTGCATGTGTGTGTGCGTGGATATAGACAATACAAGAAAACCGGGACGTACAGTCCAGGCTGCAATAGTGCCATATCAATAAGTGCATTGTTCAGTGGTAGACAAAGCATTAAGTATGTACTAGGGATGGGAATTTGAAAGCAAATGTATATTTGAATATTCGACCCCCAAAAAAACAGTTAACCAATTAACCGAAATGTACATATCCTATGGGAATTTTTTTTACAAAAAAAAGAAATAATAAATACATGTTCAAATAAGTATAGAAACCAAGTCGAATTTGTCAAATGTATTGAACTGGTGATCACAGTTTGAACAGTTGATAGGCCTACAGCTTTCATGCTTAAAACATAACTTGGTTTTCTGATGGATTTGGACATAAACTTGAGTGAAGTATAACCGGATGCGAGAGAGAGATCAGCACCTGCAGCTCTGCCCGCTGTGAGGGGCCGGTGAGCGGAGCAAAACACACATCACCTTTAGACCTAACACACTTAGCTATGGCACTGTCGTATACATTGAATTATTCCATTTGATAATATGTAATCAACTTAGGCACCCCTCCCAAAAAAAAAAAAAAAAACTCATATTCAAATACCTGAATAAAAGGCTCCTCTATTATTATAGTTGCATGGATCAGCAGAGAAAAATCTAATAACCATCAACTGGCTTTACATATAAATTATGTTTGTACTACATCTATAAATTGTTATAGTTTAAGTTGAGCCGAAAAAACTCCAGCAGAATTAAAAAAAATTGTATCTCTTATTAAAAGTGAAATGACATTTAAACGATTCTCCTCAGCTTTACCTTTTCTCCTTTCAATTTGTTTGTGCTTTGAGACTGCCAACCCTCCTAGGTCAGCAACCAAAACATTAACTGTCAGTTCTACTTGTATTTGATCTTTAGGACATGTGAGTTTTAAATATGCAACTGAAGTCCAAGGCCAGACTGCAACCGGGGATGTTGCTTATCACAGTGTCTCTGCACCTTAAACTGCTAGGTCGACTCTGTGCTGTCTTTTTCTATGAAGTTAGATGTGTGTTGCGTAATCCCAATTTTCTTTTGATTAGGAAACTCACAATAACCTAAAATGTGACTTTTAAAGCTATGGAATTGTTTAATGATAACATATAAGATTCTTGTGGGGAGTTGGAGTCCAGGGATGAAGAGTGTTTTATCAGTATGATAGAGTTTACACTTCTTCTGCTAAAGCTGTGTACAAAGAGAATATCACTGAATATTATACTATTTGCAAACTAAGATTCAAGTGCATAAGATTGTTTTAGACTAATCAAAACATTTCAAATGTACTGTTAAGTCCAAAGTAAAAAAATGTATTGATATAAAAGATGAATGACTATGTTTTTATGTGAAAAAATATTCTGGTTAAATCCATATTTGTTTGTTTGTTTCAAAAACAAAAAGCACACATCTGTATCAAGGTAGGGTCTACATTACATTGATATAACCACAGTAACCAGAAATCAAGAGTTAGACATTCATAACTTGACTGGAAAACTCCAAAAGAAGCCCTGAATGTAAAAGAAAAACAAACAAACAAAACACATTCAGTACAACCCTTGACCCGAGAGAGTTTTAGCCACACTTTAGATGACGACATATGAACCCTGATGTCTTTTTTAAAATCTTGAGGCAGTATTTTTTTACTTTTTTAA